TTCCTGCCCTTGCAAGATGCCAGCGGCTCTCCAAAGCCAAGTCCTGGCTGCAGCACCGAGAACAGGCGCCCCAGCCGGGGCTCAGCTTTGCTGAAGCAGACCACATCGTCATCCGACCTCGCTACCGAAAGCATTTCAAGGAAGCAAGGCTTAATGATCACCTCTCCCTGCCCCGCCCGGCTTGCAGCGTGGCGCTGGGAAGGGCTGCCGAGCTCGGCACTGCCGACACGAGTCAGCAGAGCCTGAAAACGCAGCCGCCTCGAAGGCTGAGCTTTCCGAGGCTGAACGGAGAGACCAGGAAATGTCTCTGCAAAGCATGACTTAACCTTTCTGGCCCCAATTCTGGTAACAGCTACACGCAAGCTTAATAGTGAGCACAGGAGGCTACTTATGCTTAAAACTAGGCATGTGGCTATTTATAGGATCTTCGAGAACATTTTATAAATTAAAGGGGTCACTGCGAGTATTGTTTCCAAGTGTGTTAGCGATGTTCAAGCCAGCAATGTTACTAGGAGACTAGATGTTCGGCAGCAATGTTACTAGGAGACTTTAAAAAATATTTTCTCCCATTTGGTAGACATCTCCAAGCAAAACAACGTGGCGTCTATCCATCCGGTATAAATTGCAACACAATCTCCTGGGAAAGGATGACTTCTATTTTACAAGTGTCTTTCTTAACAAAAGAGATGATACTCCTTGCCCAGCTGCAATGTGGGCAAGAGCTGAACACGGCCTCTCATCTCTGCTAACACCATCCTCCGGGCTGACAGCTCCCTGAGGATGCCTGTTGACTACTTTTGTCATTGTGACAATGTGATTGCACAAGCGCATGCACACGTAAGCCCCGGACCAGCACGCTGATTCAGTGTCACCCATGAAAGAGGCTGACGTTTCTCAAAAACATGGTTTTTTTGTCCTAACTGGCCATAACACTTGTTTTGCCCTGATCTGAGACTTACCTGTTAAAAGTGCAGCATCTTTTCCTGCGAAAGATGCTGCACTTGGGGAGCCGCTGGCTTCAGTGCTACCATCTCATCTGGAACTCAGTCGCACGTATCCTTCCACGCTGCAGCCACGCAGCGTCACGGCGCCCATGGCCTGCTGGCCGGCGAGACGGCCCGGGAGCACGCTCTGACGGCAACGCTCGTGCCGCAGGTATGGCAAGATGCTGGCAAGCCCATCGCTCCGGCCTCCCCCGCGCCTCGCA